CGATCAGGCGCGCAAATTGGAAGCTGCCCGATTGGTTTGATGAAAACAGTGCGACCATTAGTTCATTGGTGTCGGCTAAGAATGGGGCGTTTGCTGCACGTGTAACGAACCTTGCTAACTGCGAGAAGGAGAGTCAGTTTTGTAAACTTCGACGGTGCCTGACTCGATAGCTCCGTCGCATCAAGAATGCTTGGTGGACGAAGAAGGTAAAGCAGATGGAACGCTACGCCGAACACTGTCAACATTAGGAATTTTTTGACTCCTTGAAAGCAGTGTATGGACCCACCTTGCAGCCGCTGAGAACGCTGGTGAATGCTACTTCAGGAACTGCTTGCACCACAACGGCAGAAATAATGCCGATCGGGCGAACGCACTTTGAGTGTCTCTTGAACAACCATACAGTTTGACTTGGACCACGTTGCACGGGCTTCAACAGCAAGAGATAAAGATGTGTCTTGGTGACACATCAACACCGGATGAGACTCAGACTGCACTTGCTCAGCTGCGAAACTGCAAGTGCGTCGGTGCTGACGGGATCCCGCCTGAAGTGTTGGAACATGGTGGATTCGCGTTGGTAAACGCATTATACCACATAGTGCAACTCGAGTTGTTTGCAGAAGTGGTACCGGTTGACTTGAAAGATGCCCTTGTGCTACCACTGTACAAGGGCAAAGGGAGCAAGCAATGTGCCACGAATTATCATGGCATCAACTTGCTGACTTCTGCGGGGAAAGTGATCTCCCGAATTTTGCTCAACCGCCTCGTCACTTAAGCCGTTGAACCGCAAGTCGTGGAAGAGAAATGCGGATTCCGTTCGGGTTGCGGCACCATTGATATGATTTTTGCTGCTCGTCGGTTGCAGGAGAAGCGCCGAGAATAACACCAGCCGTTGTACTCACTGTTTGTTGATTTCACCAAAGCATTTGATACGGGGAACCGCGAGGTATTGTGGCTGGTGTTGGTTAAGTTTGGTTACCCTAGGAGGTTTGTAAGTTTGATTGAATGTCTGCATAGTGGTATGCGGGCGAGGGTGCAGCTGAGTGTAGAGACCTAGGATAACTTTGTGGTTGTCTCTGATATTTATCCTTTGATATTTACCTTCGTGCAGAGCTGTCTTGTGCTTTTGATGCTGCTTGTGAATACAGTATCCGTCTAGAGCACCGTATTGTTGGAGGGTTGCTGAGCGTCCGTCGTTTCGGGGCTAGAACCCTAGTGTGTGAAACTATTGTGCGTTGTTTGCACACTGCGCGGTTGAGTTGCAGCCCATGACTTCGGCTATCGCTTCGACAGCGGCCAAATTTGAGCTCACCTTCAACACACGCAAGGCTGCTTATACTTGACAATCCTATTCAAATTTGAACTAATTTTGCCTGCCACATATCCACATTGGTAATGACGTTTTGAAAGCCACTTCGAGGTGTTGCTACTTTAGAAGCTTAATGTCTGTCGATCTGCAAATAACGAATGAGTTGCGCATCTGCGTATCGAAGACGGCTGTCTCATTTGGAACGCTGGAAAAGCGTGTGTAGAATAACCCCAGATTACTGTTGGCACGAAGCTGACGGTATACGAGTCGATAGTGTTCTGTACAGAACAGAAACGTGGATGATGTACCGGGAGGACATCAAATATCTGGAGCGGTTTCATCAACAGTTCCTGAGACCGATTCTGCGCATCGGCTTTGTGGCTGATTTGCAGACATAAAAGTGCTCCGCCGCAGTGGGATGCATGCAGTGGACTGTATACATCTGTTGCGACACCTGAGGTGGCTGGGGTATGTAATTCGCACTTATTAGGTGCCGATACACAAGCAGCTGCTCTATGGCCAAGTGCATGCAGGGGAACGGCACGTGAGAAAACCGAAATTACGCTACCAGGACATGAGCAAGGTGCTTATCACGAACTAACGTTGATTTCGGGTGTTTGGAAGCAAAGGTAGTTGATCGGCGCGAACGGCGTGAGCTAATCAGGGAGGCGGTTGCTCAGTTGCAAGAGAGGGCACTATGGCATGCGGAAAAGAAGGTCGGGTACAGAAGCGACAGTCGCCAATGCAGGATAGCCCATCGACGTCAAGCGCATGGTACTGTAGCACATGCGGTCGTGTGTGCCTGAGCCAAGCTGGTCTGGCAAACTACCACTGTGGCCATGTGCCGCCAAGATGTAAGAGAAGACGAGTCAGTTGAACAGGTATTCAGCATCAGCAGAGCGTTTGATAAGCACATCACTTCCGATTCCATTCCATTTCCTAACCCAGGGCAATAATGCGGTCGATGTGATACGTGTAACACATCATCCCTGCAATCGGTCTGTGCATGTGCTTGTCTGCATGTTTGGATTTTTTACAGTTCAGGTGTTAGCTGTTGATTTATGTCCCCAGTGCGGCTGCTCTTGGCGCGGAGGTTGACAAGGTGCTTACCTGTTTAACACCCTCCAATTCGATTACTGGCTTCAGGAGACTGCTAATCTTTGTTGGGGGCACGAGATGCACCGGCATCGTGTCCACGCCAGGCTCGAAGAGTGGTTCCATGAATCCAGGGTGGAGCGGGCTATGGTCCAGCCACCGCCTTGTGTATGTATGGCACGCCTGATTCCACAACTAGGCTGACAGGAATGCCACTGCTCAGCATGTTGAAGGAATGTGGGCCGACTCCGTAGATGAAGTGTGGCTTCCATCCGCCTGCCTCCCGATCTCATTCCTTTGAGTTTACACTGGAATTGGGGTGTGTGGATGGGTCGGTGCTTGGTACATCGCAAGCCAACCATAGTCTTTGAGTAGGTGCAGGCGTCTTGTGACTGTCCCCGCGGATGCCGTAGTGGAAGGCAAATCAGGAAGCGGATACTCTCAAGCATCTGAGAAAAATGGGCAATTGATACGTCGGGTTGACTGTTGCGCGGAGTGCTGTGAAGTACAGTTCACCAGGCCTACTGTGGCACTACCATTTGCTGAATTATCGGAACGCGCGTGGGAAGTCTCAGTCACACTCCCAACTATGGGATAGATTCCGCGCACACGCGCTCCGTTGTAACGCAACCAAGTGCTTGGACCAGATGACTTTGTCCAGTCTTTGCAGAACGACCAAAGAGACCTACTGGCGACTGGAATACTGAAGCGCTTCCTTCAAGTAGCCGGTTATCAGCCATCGTTCACTACTTCAAAATGGGTAACAGTTCATTTTGCAAAATCTTCAACAAGATTCATTCAGCGGTAACTCATTGCAACCGTGTGAGCCAAATCTCTCTGCACTGCAGATCAAGAATGTGTTACATACGCATTTTCTCTTCGTCTTCTGTACCCACATATAGACAGAATGACAACCGTGGTAGTTTTCCTTTACTTGAAAATCACATTTGAGTCAGTCCATCCTACCACCTCATGATACCGCCTATCCTTGAAGAGTGTGTTATGAAAACTAACTTTGATAAAGTCGCCCTACCGCAACTCCCGAGGCCGGGTGAGATTATACGCAAAGCTGTCTCCTGAGTTACTCACGACAAGTGAGGTTCGCCACACTTGTCGCATATTTCCTTTCCTTCTCGGCTTTTCGACTGAAATACTCCTAATTAGTTTTACTTGCAGCCTGTTTTTGAATGGAATGATTTTCCCAGAGACAAATTGATAAACCCTGAGTATGTAGAATACGTGACTCTCCATGGGTCGAATACAGCCACTGTATGTTTACTTCTGGGTAAATTGTCGCAGAGCATAAAACATTTCGCTAAATATTTCGCACACTTAATCTTAAGTTACTAGTACAGGAATTAGCCGACACGCCGGCTCTAGCAGTCATCAAACAGCCAATGAAGTGATATTTTATTTCCCTTATCTCTTAGTCACATCATTCTTGTTGGCCACCTAACATAGAACATTACTGCGCTTATAGGTAGAGCTTTTCGAAGTCCAAATCACCAATAGAGACAGCTAGACATCAGTATAACATTTAAATATAAGGTGTATAACACTAAGACTGGTGTTACTGTATGAATCAGATACGTGGCAAAACACATTGCGGACACTAGGGTTGGTCTTCTTTGAGCGCTGCTGTTTATGGGTTGGAGTCCACCTCAAGTATAAACACGGAGTAAGCAGCACTAAAGTATTTAACAGTTGGTGTTTGTAATGAAATTTCTGGTGGTGTGATGGAGTGTCTGCGAAACTTGAAACGCTTACATAGGCTTGAATATATCCTCTCATGTCTGTTGATCGCCTGCCTCGATGTGAATTATAGACCTTCGTTTTGGCCAGTTCGGAGAAACAGTAGAAGGACTAGTCGATGACGTGGCAAAAGGGCACTGAGTAAGTAAATGACTGGATGTGAGCCTCAGGTTGGGTTACACCAGTCGCTGGAGATCTCATCTCTCAGAATGTATTTGCGGACTCAGTGACAGCTCTGAGTCCTTTCGCCCCCACCCAGGTTTTAAATTACTGTCAGTATGATTGTTCACACAATTGTCCCTAGCCCTTAAGTTCTATCACACTGTTTCAACATTTTTGTTCAGGAGTAATCTAGTGACAGGAGTAGTGGCAGCTGCATCCAACGCAATTCGATCCATCGGTCATGCTTGTTTCTCTTGGCTGAGGTGAGCCGAAATTGCATCTGACGGACGCGAAGACCCCTAAGCACGTAGTGTCCGTTGCAGTACCAATCCCAACTCAGACAACGGTATATCGGATTGGATGCCATTGGCGGATTTGGGATTGGCCAATCAATAAACAATACACAGTTAGGGGCGTTCCTGCGTATTGGATGTAAGTTGATTTCGACGGAGACCATGTTGAATGATCGGTGGGGAACATTATCTCCTTAAGGAAGAATTTGAATGTGCCATGGATGCAACTTTGGGTTACACCGCATGAGTCTTTATTCCGCTTTCCATCCACCCTATGGATAGAAGTGAGGCGTACATATCCACAGATCCGTAAGCTGCGGTGAGCCGCTACTGGTTTAACATGTATCAGAGACTCTGCCACTAATCGTATTATTCCTTATCTAATCCAACAGCTTGACAATACGGAATTCCAGTGCGACAAATCTGTCACAGCAGCAGCCAACCTGGAAGTCGGCATGGATGTGACATATGAACCAAGCGCGGTTGGCACAGCATCGGGCTTTCTGACCCTTTCCAGTTCCCACGGAGGAGATTATGTGTTCCCTTTGAAAGGAGTTGCAACAGAGCCCCAACCACAAGGCCCATTCACCATCAGGGCTGGTGAGATGACGCATATTTGGTTCCGCAACGTGTTCAATTCAACCATGCTGTATTCGTTTCAAGTGAGTAAAGTGCAAGTGCGGCGAGTAAGTATTATCTAATTGCCTGTCGACACGAGACTGATTGGCGCCAATACCGCAATTGGTGTTTAAACGAGACGAAGCTATGACCATCGTACAGTGTGTTGTGGACAACTTGCACAGTTGGGATACGGTTGGATGGGTTAAAAAGCATTGTCACAGACGGTTATCTACAGGGAGTTTCACAACATCTGATGGTAATACAGACAGGGATCTAACCGACACGAACCCATCGTTTCAGTAACTAACTGAAGGTGAAGGCTAATCGTAGTTGGAATCGCCAAGCTTGAACGTTTCGAACAAGTTGCTTATGCAGCCATGCATTCCATTTGAGGTGTGACTTAGATGCTAGTAGTAAGCGATAACCCCTAAGAGTCATGTCAGACACGGGAATATGGAAAAGAGTGACTAAAAATATAGGTGTACTGCAGCGGATTAAAAAATTGAACAGAGTACGATTGATCAGATGTAGCATAGCGAGCGATTCCCCAGGTAAACACAAGCGATAGGGAACTACAGTCACTAAAATAAATGGAGAATTGAAAGGTAGGAAGCCCAATAAAATCGGGTGCTGCGAAACACTGAAGGACCAAACGATTCAGACTTAATTAAAACGACCTCCCTTTAAGGAGCTGAATAAGGGTATCTATGGATAGGTATCAGATGTGTGGTCGATGAAGTAAACGCATTTTGGCGAAGTCGGAGGGTCAGGGATGCCAGTGGCCTCCAGATGGCATTTCACACCGGAGGTTACACCTCGTTCAACTCGGCTAGGCCAAGATTTGGACGTGTTTATTATTTTTATGGTTTACACAGGTCAGAGAAGAATAAAGCAACAACCGGACGAAGGAATGTGAGTAAGTGGGATATGCAAGGGAAATATGCCACTGCATGATTGCTCATCGACATCCAGCAGGTCAGTAATGTATTTTGACCTAAAAGTCAGTCATTATCTCACATTCCCTTTACTAATTGCAAACACCCATGATACTATCTGGTCGTGTCCGAGAGAAGGTAAGAACTTCTTGAAGAAATCCGTTATTTGAGCGACTAATCGATTGTTTCCGATTATCACATTGATTTCAAACAGACTGGAATAATCCACTTCTTGCATGTAACTGCCAGCCTCCAGAGGATTGCTTAGATTCGTAGGGCGCTGCTAATTTTACTAGTTGGTCTTCCTGTTCCTGATGACGAAGGTCATTAAGTGACCCAGAAAAACGAGCAATACCCGCTACATTTGTATAGTGTCCTTTTGACGGCGATTAATCCGTTATTTTGTCAAGGTTATTCGCCCTCGCTTTTTCTTTCGGTTGGGCTGGAGTTCTTGAGAGGCACTTACGTGATGATTTCTGAATCATGTCAAATGGGAAAAGCTCACAGATAGCGACAATTATAACATTTTGCTTTGTTCGTTCGTGATGGGACCGGACCGTATTGAGGTGCGGTAGTACGCGTACGTTCATGCTACTTTGAGCTAAATCCTGTGACATTCCCTTGGCTATTCAGCCCTAAGCATATTAGACAGGTTATTGCATGAAAGTTGGAGAAACTCGGCTTTACAACCTTCACAAAAGAGTGGAGAAAGTTCGACGACCATATTATGAATAGCATGCAACCACTGATACAGCCGATCCAAAGGACGTCGGTTAGGAAATTATATACCATGTTTCAACTAGATATTTGGACGTATGCATCAAACACCCTTTGCGGTATCGTCGACTGAGTAACAAAACTTCATCCAGCCATGCAACATCTGCAAGCCATGCTGGATAGTAGACATAGGACAGCACCCATGCAATCGGAATAATGGCGGAATATGGAAAAACACTATATATATATATATATATATATATATATATATATATATATATATATATATATATATAATACTATTAACCGCAGTTGGGCTAAGCCAACTTACACTTAAACTAGGTCTTTTTAAGCTGGATAAATTTCATTCCGCTTTATTTGGTTTGTTCTGCCTCCCTGAATAATGTTCTATTAACTGGCCACGTTGCTTACACAAATTGCGCTTATTTTCGGTAATTTTGTTGCGTTTGTAGCATTTTAAGTAACTTGTGGACATGTCTTACTTATCACGGATTTGTTGCTAACCAACTTACTTCATATGTAATTTAGCGAAGAGTTATGCCACCGTATCTGTATGCGTTATTGGAATTGTTTTATTTCAGCTTGTCGTTTAAAGTGAATGGCTGTTGTTTGCTATCCCTGGTATGGTTGCGCTTGATGTGTATGTTGACAAGGTGCCTACCTGTCTATTACCCACTACATCGTTCATACTGGCTCCAGGAGACAGTTGGTCGTTGCTGGAGGGGACGGGGTGCACGGTTCTTGTGGCCGTGCTAGGCTCAAAGAGCGGTTCCATGCACTCAGTGTGGAGCGGACTACGGTCCAGCCACCGCCTTGTGTGCGGTTGATTCCCAAATACAGCGTGCTTGTGTTTGTCTGTGAAGGAGTGTGGGCCGGCTCCGTTGATGAAACGTGGCTCCCATCCGCATGCCTCCCGGTCTTATTCCTTCGGGTTTACACTGGATATGGGGGGTGTGGTTGGAGCTGTGGGTGGTGCAGCGCAAGCCATCCATGGTCCCTCTGTAGGCGCAGGCGTCCTGTGGCTTGCCACAGTGACAGGCGAATCCGAAACCGGACGCCGCCAACCATATATTATATATATATACATATATATATATATATATATATATATATATATATATATATATAGCAGTCTATAAGACAGACATAGAGCCAGCGAAAACCATGAAAAGGAAGTAATAAATACAGAGACCATAATGAAAAGAATGGAAGCTGCAAAAATGTTTTTTGTATCTTGTCTTTGCTTCTTTTTCTTTTTCACACGCCGTTTTATCTGTTTTTGTCTTTTTTATGTTTGCGATGTAATTCAAGCAAATCAACGCAAACATTTGTACACATTTTCAATTGAGCCCGGTTCTGTGCCATCTCCGAAAGTGTTTCCAGTCAGCGGTGTAGTTCATCTTTGATCCCACAGCCTGGAAGACGCACAGGACCTACGACAGCCAAACTGGAAGACAGCACTTTAATCGCTTGTCGCCACGTGATAGGCTGACCTCCGCGTGATTTCTTCCAGCCTGGTCCTATGCGAGCGAAGAGAGCGCGTTGGGGCAGCCGTTCGCATGGCATGCGTAAAAGGTAACCCAGCCACCTCAGTTGGCGCAATGGTAACAGTCTGTCAAGTGGAAGTCCCGTGTTACCCAAGACGCGACGTCTAACATCATCGTTGCCTACGTGGTACATCCACCACACTCTAGCTATTCTCCGCAGACATCCATTGTCAAAGGCCGAAATCCGACGCGTCATTCACAAGAATCGGCCAGGACTCACTCCCATACAGCAGCACCACGGAACGCAAGCATTGTAGACCCTTCCCTTTACCAATAGTGAAACGTCGCGGCGTCGCCACAGATGTTTCAAGTTGGCGAATGCCGGACGGGCTTTGGCAATGCGGAGGGAAATCTCTTTTCCAATGCTACCATCAGCATAGACAGCTTCCCAGGTAAACAAAGTTGTCCACTTGTTCAAGCTGCGTACCTTGAAGAATGAGCACTGGAGCAGGTGGATACCAGTCCAGTACCAGGACTGCATTTCGTAGGAGCAAAGGTCATTCCATATTTTGATGCTTCAATCGCCAAGCGGTTTAGAACGGCTTGTGTGCTCTGTGCGTCATCACCAAGCAAGGCAATATCATCAGCATAATCTAAATCGGTCACGCGGTTGCCAGGAATTAGGTCTACACCAAAAGCATGAAAGCCCTCGAGAGCGTTTAGAAGGACTTCCTCGATCGCAAAGTTGAAGAGAAACGGGGACATGGGGCAACCCTGTCATATACCGCTAGTGACGGTAAAAGGTGAAGAGAGCTTAGCATGAGCCTTCACTTTACCTGAGACATTGCAATATAATGCTCGAAGGATGGCGATATACTTTTCGGGTACTCCATTTGTTGTAAGCAACTGCATAAAGCTGGCCGATCGACGGAGTCAAAAGCAGCTCGGACCTCCAGAAAAACGAGAATGGGCTGACGGTAAAGATGACGCATTTCAAGGAGCTGGCGGAACGTAAACAAGTGGTCTATACACCCTCGACCGGGGCGGAAACCAGCCTGTTCTTCACGGGAGTGCAGTTCTCAAATCGGGGTTAGTCTGCGGAATAGAATGGATGTTAACAGCCTGGTGGCAACGGACATTAGACTGATTCCTCGGTGATTAGCGCATAGGGAACGGGCACCTTGCTTGAAGATCGGGACGATAATTGACTCGCCCCAAGCGGATGGAACAGTTGCTTCCCACCAGATCTTAGAGAACAAAGTTGTTAGCTGGTTGACAATTACTTCACCCCCGAACTTGAACAGCTCTGGAGGAAGTCCGTCTGGGCCAGCAGACTTGAATCGCTTCAAGTGTCGGAGCACAAGGCAGATCTCAGCTTCAGTGGGTGGTAAAAATGAGACGTTTAAAGGCGCGCAACAAGATATACTCAATAGACTCGCCGACGGAAAAGGCCAGCTGAACTGAGTGCAGAAGTGCTCAGCCCAGCGGTGCATACGCCTGTGTAAGTTGCTTATCGGCGTTCCGTCAACCTCGAAAATGACCTCACTGACACCAGGTCTTTTGTGGTAAGTGGCCCGGATGACCTGGAAGAGCTTGCGGAAGTTTCCAGAGCCGACTACCGTTTCCATCTCTGATACGAGCTGGGACCACCAAGTTTCGCGATCCGCAAGTAGGTTTTGATTAAGTTGTTGGCTGAGCATGCGACGTAACGCACTGCTATTTGAATCCGCCGGGATAGCTCTACGACGATCAAATATTTCTAATGAGTGTGCGGAAATCCAGACACTCAGAGGTCGCCTTGTGATTCCGCAGATTAAATGACTGGAAGTTATCATCGCTTCACGCAGAAAACTCCAATGATTTTTGATGTCTGGAGGTGGAGCCCCAATGAATGCATGCGATAAGGAAGCTTGATAAGTTGCTCGGGTAGAGACATCAGCAAACATTTTGGTGTCAAGAGTATGGAGCTTTCGTATTGAGCAGCCGCCGAATCGCATGCGGATGTCCGTGCAGACCAAAGCATTATCTGAATCGAGCTAAGTAGCACAAATCGATCTACAAACCGGACGCTGTGTTGCCATCTTGTCATATCGCTGCGCACGCAATCGACCGGTTGATTCACGCCTGCTGGTAAATCTGCGCCCTTACGCCTGCTCTGTTTGACGCCTTGACAAACCCGACAGGAAGGAAGACAGAAGAAGACTCAGCAGACCAGAGTTGTATTAGGACAGAGAACGCTCATATTTATATGTCGGTCTCACCAACCCTCCAAACATCACCAGGCGGATTTGGCTGTAAGCCCACGCTCCACACTTGCTTGTCCGCTCCGTCTGTCCAGTTCACCGTCTTGCTCGGGCACTCCAGTCTTCGTCCGCCTACCCGGTGCATGGCAACGTACGTGATGTCTGACGCGCGATTTCATCAGCTTCCGGTCAGGCCTTGGCAACACGCCTGCTGTCTGATGCGCGATTTCATCAGCTTTCGGCTGGGCCCTGGCAACACGCTCGCAGGGTCTTTCCCAAGCACGATTTGTGGCAAACACGCGCGCGTTGGCAATCAGCTTTCTCGCCCAGCTGTCACCTCCCTTTCCGAATTGAGTCAGCTTGCACACCCTTCGAACCTGATTGTGTTCGTAGCTTTTCGCCCGGGGATCGATTTGCAGCCGTTGTGGTCTTCTCCGCTTCCGAGCCGGCCTGCATTGTGCATCTGATGTTTGCGGCATTTGTTTTG